ACTTATTTACAATATCCTCTGAACATTCTCAGAATATACATTTGCTGTTAGGGAATAGATATTAAATATTCCATTTATCTGCTTAGCATGAATCATATTGAGAAGAATATTTAACAATATAAACCTCACTGTGTGAAAGATGTTAAAAGATTGACCTGTTTAACCCACTTCTTATTTTCATTGTTTTTGACTTTGAGAATTAGAATACGTCTCATCGTGAAGCCTGCACAATTTAGTTGCTAAATGATTAATTAAATTGGAATTATGTAAAAATGCATTTTAGGACCTTGCAAGATTTACGAAGAATCGACATTAACTGGATGCTAACAAATAGTAAGGAGCCACGACAAGCAGTTTGAAGATGGAAAGCGGCGATAAATCCAGGCGAAGTTAACAAGTCTGTCAGACCTCACTTAGCCGCGGTGTATTTTGGTTATATCGGCTGGAATAACGCGGCATGGTCCATCTGGCAAGCCTTAATTACCATTTATATTCCGCATTTGCGCAGCTCGTGGACGGTGTAAAATTACGGCGCGCGCGGTCCGGGGCGAATCTCGGCTTTCATTAAAAGATAATTAAATCAGCAGCGAATCGATCCCCCTGCTTTATCTTGCCGTCTCCTGTTCCGCGGAACTTCCTGAATTATGCAGCGAAGCGAGAACGTCGACTTTAAAATTGTATCGCGAAACAGCCCAGAGAGTTTCAGAGAAATGGTTCTGGGGTATTCTTTCTTATTACACTGCCCTTTCGAGAGATGAGCAGATGGCAAAGGAAACCTCTTTCGGAGCCGCTCAGACGTTTTAATCTCTCCAATGTAGAATTAAACATGGCAGTCTCTCATATTAGCGAAAGATTTTGTTTACTTTTATTTTTTTCTACGTAAAATGGAAAATAACATTGTTGCTTATAACTTCCATTAGTCTCGGAAACTGAATTAGAGTTATTAACTTTCAGAATTTCTCCAAGATTCCTGAAGATTTATTATATTATACTTATTATTTATTATTAATCTCAGAATGATGCTTAAGTCTTTGTAGTCTTATAATTATCGAATTGTTTGCGTATGTTACACGTGCCGATATAAATAATACTCGGTTTCCCAATCGCGATGTCGTGCATAATAAATGACAGTCTCCGTGCGGAGACGGTGACCTTCGTTATCCGGCGTAATTAATAAAACGACTAAACGGAGCAGCACTCCAGCGCTATTAATCACAGCGACGAGAGCTATTAGTAATGCCTTTTCGAGCCGGAAGTTGAGCGAATGCGCACTCTGCACTCGTGACGTTCTCTTTCATGAAAAGGGGGAAGGATGTGCAAGGATCGTGCGATTTCCCTCGGCTTGCCACATTAAATTTCCTGTCGTTCCCGTCTCAGGCTAACGCGGATGTAATGTCCTTAAGTTATTTTCGCAAATGTGCCGTGAAATATCTAAAGATTATTTTCATCACGCGCCACGAATCAGTCCTCTAGTTTTTCAAATTTTATTTACATTCACTTGATAAAATTTCTTCCTACTTACTATAAATTAATAATGTGACAAAAAATTTTAGAATCAAAAGTTACGTCAATTATATAGATATTTTTAAAAATCGCTCGAAGCTATGAATCCCAACGAACTTGGAAAGCGAGACACTTTATCTTCCGCGTGAGACGAACAAATCATTTCCCGCGAGCCTTACTTTTTCGCCTAAAAGGATGGAGAAGGCATCTTTTTTTTTGGCCAGCGACTCGTGAATCACGAAGAGACCGGAGGGGGGAGGGATCTTTGTTCCAAAGTATTCTGTGAGAGAGTTGAAACAAATTCCGCGAACTTGGTGGATTCGATTATTAGTTCGCGCCTTGAAAACTCGCCCGTCGTCCTCTTCCTCTTCTTCCGCTTCTTCCGCCATACGTTCGATACTGGGCTTTACCTATCGTCGACGGAATTGTGAGTGCAGGCGGCCGTGTAATTGCGAGTCTTCCCAAGGAAAACGAAAACTTTCTCCCCCTCCCCCCCTCGAGTCAGAGGAGAAGGAAGAAGTGCCGACAACGTGCATTAACCGGATCCAAACTTTCGATAGATTTCCATTACGTAAGAATCTGGGAGACAATACCGCGCCCCGAAGGAAACGTATCCCTCTCAGGATTGTCTGAAAATCACACTTTTCGGGACTCGATTGCGAGAATGCGACTCGAGATTTCAAGTTACTATTCTGCAAGCTGTTATCAAGTCTGCTGTTAATTTAACTATAAATCGTAGTAAATGTAGAGATGTGTGAATCAAGATTTTTTTATAAATCGAATAAAATCGAATCAAATTGGTAAAATATAATTTTTAATTAACAATTTAATTATTGTTAGATTAAATTTTAACACGTTGATAATAAAAGAATATTTTGATATAAAAAAATAATATTAATTATGTAATATAATTTTTTAAAGGCAAAAACATTTAAATATTTAATATAAAACTATAATGTACTTTATTTTTAATGTCGTAATAACTGAAACAATTAGGCAAAAAATTGTAAATTACTAAAATGCTCTAATAGTATAAGAGATCCAATAACATTATCCAACATACATAGAAATTAAAATCAAATAATATATTCAAATTCGAATAACTCGCACACATCGATTATTGCGAATCTTGCCTATTGTGAATTTTGATCAGCAAAGTTTCAGCTAATTTCGCCAAAATCTAATTTCCATAAAAAATGTGCGGGGGTCCTTTTTGAATTTTTGAAACATCTCTTCGACATTGCAAACAAATAAGGATCTAAAACTTACTTTAATAAATACTAAGAAATTCCAGCAACTTCTTCAATTTCAAACGACAAGGACTATGAAGGATTTACAGATCTATTAGAGTTCACACTATAATCTCTGCGAAACTTTCACGCAGTTCGTAATGGCGCGGAGATTTCAACAAGCAATTTCGTGCCACGTGTCAGTGGCGCGCGCGCGTCAGAAAAATGAGAAATATTTGATAAATCTCTCCCGTGTCATTTTCTTCAGTTTCCAGCCACGGAAGCAACGTCGAACACCGTGGCAGGTACGCGCAATATATTTCTTTGCCTGTTGTGCCTCTTCATCTTCAACCCTTTTTATTGCCGTCACCTAAGCTCTTTCCCGCCCTTATATCTCTTCGCCAAAAAACTTTCTCCTACGGCCTTTTCCTTAGCTTGAGGGAACCTTTTTATGTCCTCACGTATGTCGGCCAGAGTGAATGGTGTTTCAATAATCGTATATCATTGAATTTCCTCGGGACGAAATAGAAAATTTCGCTTTTCTCCGCGCGCTTGCAAGCTGTTTCGAGCGTCACAACATCTCAGAGCCGGAAATTGAACGGCAAATGTGATCACCCCGCGCGTCGTCTTTATCCAAAGAAAATATCTTTAACAACATACGTTCATAATTCTGCGCATATCGTGCATGTATGCATCGTGCGTTTATGTGTAATTAGAGATAAAAATTACGGGAGATAATGAGACTCACAGAGAAGCAATGAGGGATCTCAAAAATTAAAGAAGAACCGCAGAATTCCGATGCTTTCCGGGTATAAAAGAGATTTTTTCCAATTACGTCAATCATCCCGACTTTAGTAATTACACGTCACGTAGGCTCTAATCTCCGATCTATTTGGAATGTTCCGCGTGTCTTCTCGTCGGCCAGAGACGTCCAGAAACTCAATAACTTGCACAATCCCGGGGAAGTTCAGTTTCAGACCATCCGCGCCGCGCCGCTATATTGGGGATCGCGCGCGGAGAGGTCAATGACATCTATTCCTGGCCACCATAATTCACCGGGGCCTTCCCCAACTCTCTGCGAAAAGTTCCCTCAAACTTAGATTAGCGATTCAATTTGGGCCGCCAGTGAATCATCTTAAAAATCGTTTTTTAATCGTGACACTCTGTAACGAACAAAACGTTCCCTGGCCTTGCCAGGAGCGGCTTTTCCTGCCTCGGGCTTTTCCCGCATTTCCCGCCCTTCCGTTTTACCCCTCCCTTTCCGTTTACCCCGACCACTCATAGATTTCCGCGCTATTCGTTCAACGCTGCACCGGCTCAACGGCCAGTGAGGATTACTTCATCTGCTAATGCCCATCTAAAATTCCGTTTTTCTCGAGAGAGTTGACGGATTGGACTCATTATGTATATCCACGCGCGAAAATAATTTAGTCGCTGAAGAATCCATTTTTAACAATGCTAGAAACAGTAATTGTTAAGGTTTTTATTATTAGAAGAGAATGAAAGATAAGTTGTTTCATACTCCAAGCAGTTTTTTTTGCATACAAGTAAACTTAAATCCTACAATCTCAAAGAAAGTTTCTAAATTTAAATCCTACAATTTCCTCTAAAAATTCATCAATTTGTTACTGAAGGATTCTGAATTAAGTCCGAGTTAAAAATTTTTAATTCTCTTTTATCACTATTCAAAAGTCTGAAAGAACTTAGGAGTTTACACGTTAGAAAAATGAAAAATTGACAAATGAACGTAATTTTGCAGAATGGCGTTACAAAGTTCTTCCCTCGAGATAGTGTCGAGAGCATCGTCTCTGGTTGTGACTTCGAAGAGCAGAAAACGTGTTATAAAAAAGTTTCGGTGCTTGATCGATCGATTTGACTACACTTCCTTTCAGTACAGTTCGATAACGTCTCAGTGCACGAAGAAGAGAGGACGTCTAATACACATCTTAAGCTCAGCTCCAATCTATCTTTGGGATGACGTTACTTTTTGAGTTTGAAGAAGAGATTTAATTAGCCATCGAAAGAATAAACTTGTAAATACGAAGAAGAGAGTTTAATGTTTTGTTATAAAAGTCGTAGATTCTTTTTTCGGTGAGGAAATTAGAAGTATATTTTCTACGGTATTTACCATAAAATTTGGTAAATACATTATTAAGATTCAAATATTCCCAATTTTAATTTATTAAAGAATTAACGTAATCGCGCGTGACGGTTACAAAGTTGCTCGCGTAATTGAATCGCTGCTGGAGGGTTTGTACGATCACTCACCCATAGCAGGTGCGTAGATGTTCAGGTAGAGGCAATCCTCGCTCTGGTTACGCAGATGAGGCAGCAGTCTCTTCAGATACTCCAGTCTTCCCTTAGGCATTCGCTCGAGCGCTTCCTGCTCGTTTGCGATGTCCGGCAGCTTTTGGGGGCAGACTGGACCCATCAAGTCCGATAATCTGCGGAGGAAATCGGAAATCGTTCGTGCGTTACAACGAACCGAACGGTCAAAGTTTCGGCATGGCATGGAATACGCGTCGCCGTGTTCAATAAGAACGAACATCGGTGAGAATGCATTTCAGGGCGCATATAGATATACTAAACCACCAGATGTCTTAACCATGTATCATTATTACAATATTACACCTAAATTGATAACTTAAAAATGATATTTTCTTCGGTATTAATTTCTTTAATTAGTTGATTAATTATAATATTTTTTAATTAAGTCTAATAAATAAATTGATTGATAAATAATAATTGCAGTACAGTAATATTGATTGTAAAATAATAATTGATAATGTGAATAGTAATTGATTAAAAAAATAGATTGATCGTCACTTTGTTGAAAAGTTCAAAATTTGTTGATAGTTACGTAATCGTAAGCGGACGTGATAGCAATATAACATCGGCATTTGAAAGATTTTCCAAGGAATACCTTGGCATAATTTTAGAATGTTGTATATCCTAGCGATATTCCCAGACACTTTAAGTTATATAGAAAGACTGCTCGGCATCCGAAGTATTTCAAGAAGATCTTGCTTGTTATAAAATTGAAAAGAGTATCCACTTTTAACGGGAGGGATGAGATCGCGTAAATGTGATCGACTTTTCGTGTATAAAAATAAAAAGATTGATTAGCCTTGACGTAACTTTTTGCATAGCTCACTGTAAACTCGATCGCGATGAAGGAAAAAACTTCGAGATTTCGATAAACAATATCCGTAGCAAATTACATTGTTTTCCAGAATGGAATATAAGTAGAATAAATAGAAACCAAAAATATTCTTATTGATCGTTTCGTTGTAATACTTCATCTCAAATCAAAGTTTAGTTGTATATTAAAATCTAATTTGTATCAGTTTTTTTATAATACAAAACGCCTTCAAAAATCAGTTTTCAAAGCTGGCTTCAAAAGGCAAATAACTACGCCCAAAGTTGCACTTTAGTTACACTTTAAATTACACTTTGAATAGTAATTTAAGCTTTATGCGTCAATTTTATTTGTAATTATGTATAAATTTTGGTGCATATACTATAAAAAATTAAATTCGCTATATGTAACGTTAGCTTCTATCTTCAATGAAGTATACACTTTACCTGACTCCCTCCCAGGGGCTCGGCGCTCTCGTCGGGGAAAAGCGGTTGCTGCCGACCGGCGGTGTGGCGTAGGGTATTCCAAGGTACACGTCGATCGGTTTGAGGAACTTGGGATGCTCGAAAGACCTCGTGATACCCTGCACCTCGCCGTAACGCGTCTGGACGATCCGTGGGTTGCGGTTGCTCTTGATGGAGAGCGAGAGGGCGGGCGGCGCGACCAGGCAAACGAGGATCAGGAAGAGTTCCATCTTGCCACCCTCCCCCCGCCCCGCCTCGCCCGCGCTACCGCGACTGATTGCGCCTGGCACGATCTATGGATCACCTCCGCGTCCCGCAACGATCGTCTCTCATTTACGCCTGCACGATTAATTACGACGCCGCCGTCGAGTCTCCCCCATCCCGATGAGCTTCTCTGTGGAAATATTACATACATACATCGCGGCTCTGTAGATCATTGATTTTACGTTACGCGTATACCGAGTGCGCTAATTCTTTATCGTTTCTATTTCTAAAATTAATCTTCATTATTACTCGAATTTACATCATTGTACTCTTATTTCAATCTTATCAACAATACTGTGGTATGCCTCACAATAGTTAATTTTTATAAATAATATAAAAACAATCTTTACAAATGGAAGCTAATTTAATTATTCATTTTTTATAAAAATGTCGTTAGTCTTTAATATTGATATTTTAATGTTATAAGTATGTGTTTATTAAAGTTGATATACCAATAGTACCCTAAATTAAACGCTGACGCAAAGTTGAAGTTAATTAGACAATAGTATAACCATAGGATAATAGTAGAACCATAGGTATATGATGATGTAAGAAGACAAAACAGTGCTTTCGACGCTCTCGTAATATCATTCCATAATGATAATAATAATTAATTATCATCAGCTTGAAATTGTTGCAGCAAGCAATGTTAAAACAAATGAAGTTGCACTTTATTACGATCGCGAATTATTTCGCACGCGATTGCTCGTCCGCGCGTATTGTATCAATTAATTTCGTATTTTTAGTTAGTTTTAATTTCCAGGATGCGGCGTGGTTCTCGCTGCTGGTTTGGCGGCGGTATTTATTTAACGTGCCCGTTCAATTAACTATATCAATATTTAATTAATACGTGCCGCGGTTACATCGATTCTATTGGAAAATGACAATGATATTCAAAGAAAACAGGAAAAAAAAGGAAACAAGTAACCGAGTATACATTTCGATGCGGTGGGTATAATCGATATTCCGAGGGTGGCGGGTTTCTCCAAGGATGCATGGATTGTAACGACATCTCTTTCCTCCTTCGATTATTAGCGAATTCTAATCTCGCGACAGTAAGTTTCATCCGCGTCTCTTTGATGAAAGATAAAGATGAAATGGCCGAAGGAAGCAGCGACAAGAGCTGAAGACGATGGATAAGCGACGGGAAGGAGAAAGTTTTCAGATAAGCGCGAGGAAACATTTTCTATAGATACCGTGTGCATTTGCTATATTTTAGATTCAAATATCTCGAAGCGAGAATTAATTAATCTCTATTTAATATCTCTACGTCTTTGGATAAATATTTACTTTAGTGCATTTAATATTTATTTATTATATATTATTATTTGGTATTTATATTTCATTAATAATCTCTTTCTATATAGAGATATTATAGATTCTCGGTATTTACATTTAATTAGTCATCTCTTTCTAGATTACTAATTATGTATAAATCAAGATTAGTACTTAACAAGAAATGTTAATTTAATAAAAATAAAAAAATATAATTAAAAAATAGTTAAAAAATTCTATATATATTTGATCTATTTTATGTATTAAGGTAAGGTAATCGAAGAGTGAATAGTTTGCAAGGTAATTTCAAATTTTATCCTTCTGTTTTAAGGACATACAACCAGAAAATGGTGACTTTAAAACATCGAGTTTAAGAGGCATATGTGTAGAGTAAAAAACCCACAGTATTAGCTATTAAGAAATATGAAGGAAACTATAATATAAGTAACTAGAATACGTTGGAAACTTAAAATATTAAAAATATTTCTTCCACATTCCTTCAGAATTCCATGAAGTTCTTAGCACTATCATAAAAACGTCGCGACGTTTTGGCACATAATGGGCGTAAATCAAAAAATTAATCACGTCTCGGTGCGATTATCGAGTCTTGAATTCACATTATGTGATAAGATTACGGAGACCCGAAGTTTCCATGAGCGGGTAGAGAGAAGGAACATGTACGTATATATGTAATATACACGCACATACACACACGCACACACGCACACACGCATACACACACACACACACACACACACACACACACACACACACACACACACACACACACACACACACACACACACACACACACACACACACACACACACATATATACGAGCGGTTGAGAGAAGGGTGCAGAAATAGAGTTGGGGGTTGAGAGAAGTGCTGGAAAGGGTAAGGGATAAGTGAGTGCACTCGTACGTGGAGCCATTATGGAAATCAGTACTTATCGGCCCGGAGAGGAGAAGGAAATTCAACGTTGTGTAACGATGCCACGTTTTCCTCGTGATCCACGTGGTGAGGAAAAAGGAGATAAGCTGTTTCGGTGCCCCGTCACTCGCCCTGATAATTTCTCTTCCTTATCAACGATGCGACCTTCTTGCCGCGAATCCATCATCTTGTCGATTTACGAATCAAAAGCAGCGCGAAAATTTTCATCGAAAGTTTAATTGTAAGTTTAATTGTTTGCTTTGATATATATTTTAAAACTTATTTTGAATAAAAATATTGTTATTTAAAAAAAGATTAAAAACTTTCAACTTTTGCGCCAGACCTGTTAGTTTGTTTTTAACAACTGTGAAACAACAACGTAGAACTACGTCAACTGTCACTATTTCATGTTAAAGTATTCAACGAAGGAAAGTAGACGTAGGGCTACGTCAACTGTCACTATTTCATGTTATAGTATTCATCGAAAGACAGTTGACGTAGCCCTACGTCTATTTTCCTTCATTGAATACTTTAACATGAAATAGTGACAGTTGACGTTGTTCTACGTTGTTGTTTGCGGCAGAGTTGTTATTTTAGTAATAATAATAACGTTGATTAATAATTGGATTAATAACTGTCTTCTGGTTTCCACAATGTTTGATATAATTGATAATAATTAGAAATCTTACCATGTACATGAGTCATGACTTCGACTAGTTCGTCTCCCTTTCGTCTTCCTGGGATTCCTCAAATTGTTAAATAATATCGGCTCAATCCAGAACGTCTTTTAGCATTTTGTTTATTACACTCAATAATAACAAGAATAATCGATTATAATTACTTTTTCAAATTAATTATCAAGAAAATTAGTCATTATAACCCTTATCGTGTCTTTTAAATGCACAATTCGTGAATCGTAATTTGCGAACATTTTATATTCTTTCTTCACTTTTTTATCTATTTATTTTATGCAACCAACTGTAATTATATTTCTTTTCTAATCGTTAATTAAATTTTGAATAGCTTCGAATGTTGCTTATTGCAGTGTCCTGAAACATAAAAAATGTACATAATTAATTTGTGCAAACATACTTTTGCAATTATATTTTATGAAGAATTTTTCAAACGTTCTCTCAATTGTGTTGAAATTTTTTAATTAATATTATTTATTTGCTTATTTATAATTGTACAAAAATGTTTACTTTGCACAATATAATAAGATTAAAGTTATTAACAATGATATATTCATTGGAGAAAAATATGCACATACACATATGATTCCATAAACGATAATCATATTTTATTACATCTGGCTATGTTATTATTTACAAAGACCAGGAGAAATTTACATAACGCATGGTTATATAACATCAGATTATGATAATCATATAGCAATCAACTGGATTACTAAATCAGGTCATTAATAAATTGTCAAATCAGCTGAGGATATTGTGTAGAATTGAATGACTCATTATCGCTCTTTGTTAATAATTAGCTAATTAATTTTCAAATAGAATCGATGAATTAGTTTGCGATTCAAAATCAAAGCGCAATTGCGCGCACATATTTAAGGAAAGATCATAAAAAATTTAATATCAAGTTATACTACATATTTTATTCTGATAAATTACAATAGAAAATATGAAATATCTTGTAAAATATTTATCTTGCGATTACTTCTTATATTTAGATGCACAAAGGTAAGTTGATTATTGTAAGGGAAACATAATTCAAACCGAAGCTATCGATCAAGTCTACTTAGAACTTGATCCGTTCATTCGTTATTGAGATCTCAAAATCTCGGGTACTTGCAACTCGTGCGTTCGCGTAAAAGAGTCACGGTACGGTCTCGCTTCGCGTGTAAGTATACTTGGCGCGAGACACTACCGTGTCTTTTGATATATCAATTATAGATAAACAATATATAAAACGTAAAATATGCACATAACTAGAATCCATAATAAGAAAAGTCATATTTAAATAGTAAAAATTGAAAAGTTTATTTATCGAAAGTTGGTGTTGCATAGAACTAATTGTGAGATACATTATCAATAATAAATATTTTTCAATCTAAGCTTTGATAATTTTTATATGTACGGAGCCGTGACGAATAAGTAGACGACCATAATATATGATTAGGATGATACAAGAGAAAGACGAAACTAATAATATAATTGAAATAATAATTAGCGAATGACATATTTAAATGACGTGGAAGGCGCGCGCGCGCACGTAACATGGGCTAGTTCTTTTAAACCGCGATTATGTTGCGATTTCCTAAATGAATATAACATCATAAGTGAATGTTACAGCAAAATTTTCGAAGGTATAGATTTTTGTCGGGTAATTTGAACCGTGTCGGAAAAGGTAAATCACCTTATTAATCTTGCAAGATAATAATTTTTATCATGTTTCAAGGCGTTAATAATAAGTGTTTAAGGTGTTAATAATAAAATAGTTTATAATAATTATTATATTGTATATTTATTTCATTGTAATTTATTACAGTCTTTACCAGTTTTCTCCATCATGAAATGGATTTTTTAGCTTATTTTGGATAGCGAGTTGATAACTCATAGATCTCAAATATCGTCTTGTTAAGCTGTAGAATTTTGCTTCCACTATCTCGACTTTTCCGACATCATTATTTTTAACTTTTCGTCGTATAAAATAGAAATGTACACCACTTATTGCTAAGTATACTACACTAAAGTTTTATCTTAGTTTTACACACAACAAAAAGCGATTAAGAATCTGTTAAGTAAATTAACAGCAAAATAAAAGTTTATATATTAACCTTACGCTGTATGCGGTACGCGCCAAATTTTCAATTTAAATTTGTTATTTAACGACACGTTGTGCCACACGCTATCACTTTGTATGTTACGTTACGGGGACGGCAGCTAGTAATTCCACTGCTGTAATTCCGCTAATTGTAACACTTAATATTCTAGGTATCGCGGTGGTTCTATTCATAAGAGTATTTCACCTTAGCCGAACTCTATAATTTCTAAATAAAACAATAGAAATACTGGTGCTGCAACCTTATTGTTTATTTTTTAATCGCATAATTATGAAACAAGCGAATGCAATAGAGTCATACAAATATAATTTTCATTTTTGCTTAAAAATATATATCGTTTACATGCATCCTTTGTAGTTCCACACTTCTATCGCAGTCTTTTTTCCAGTTTCTCAATTGCCAGTTTTACTTGAAGTTTATTTCACGAAAAATGGTACTACTTCTTTCCCTTAAATGTATGACATGTTTTCATTAATATTAATACATCGATAACAATTCTTCCATAATTATATTAGCGTTACTTACTATACGAGGTATTAAGGGCGGTTGACTCTAAAAAAAAAAAAAAAATAGTTATTCGGTTTATGTACTAAAAAATAAAAAATTCTGGTGTAGGATAAGCTTTAACTACAGAATTAAACGATTAATACTTACGTCTGCCGCAGGAAGAGCTTCTGCTTCCGCTACAGGTACGTATATGATCGCCATAAGAAAAGTTATGGCAAAAGCAAATGACAGATATAACCCTCTCATATTTTAATATTTATTAAAGTTCAAGCTGTATTGGTTGTACGTTTGTAATTTTCTTGCGACGCATAGCGCTTATATAACCCAAAAATGCGACTTAGATATGGTTACTTCGAAGTTCTTCTATCAAATACTTAATTTTTTTATAGTAATTTATACGTTCAACACGTACATACATACATACATAAATATTATATGTACCTATAAAGTCATCAAAAGTTTTTGTTTTATGCGAGATACGTGCAATGTTAAAAAAGTGATAAAATAAAAGTTCCTTGCACGAACCTGTCGATATGTAGAATATGACTGTTAGATACATAATACACATTTATCTTTGAAACTAACACAAACTTTGCAGCCATACAGAACACTTTATTGTCATTTTTGGAAGATAAATTTATGATAAAATTATGAACATTTAATTCAAAATGTTCTTCCAGGTTAGATAAACGCTTGATCTTGATAATGATTTATTACGTGCCAAATCGTGTTCATCAATAAAATTAATCTGTTTATTTGCATTATTTCCATGCTTTAAACATTTATATAGTAGACTTTGAAGCTAGGTAAAACAAAGAAGAAATTAAAAAATATAGTTTCACATTGTAGAAATTTTATCTTAACTAGCCACACAAAAAAGCCTACAAAATAGTAGGAGAGAGTGGGGTACGTTTTGATACGGGGCACGTTCGGACACGTGGCACATTCGAACATTTTGAAATATCGTGTTAATCCGCAACGAAGATTATGCCAGATTTTTAGTGTAAATTGTATTATAAAATTTTAGCGTTTTTGTGCAAGAAACAAAATTTTTATGCCAAAATAGTATATTGTACAACTAGTGGAAAAAGTGGTCGATTCTGAATGAGTGTGAAGTTGGTCGCACGAGCGAAGCGAGTCTTCCCATGAGTTGTTCATATTATTTTTCCTAACAAGAGCGTGAAACAGGCCGCTTTTTGCGCTTGTTTTACAATTTTATTTCTCCACTAGTTGAGAAATGGCTTCATGTTTCAACGCTTACGTCATCATTGCGAAATGGATCGTTTTGCTCACTTAAAACAAGCGCGAAAAGCGGCCCATTTCACGCTCGCGTTAAGAAAAAATAATTTTTCGAGATTTTGAATTGTTTCTGATGTAAGTGATATAAGCCTTCTGGTTTTTAACGGAGTTTCTTGGTAATTATAAATTATCAAATGCTATTACATAATCTATAATCTATAATTAGTAATTTGACAGCACCTAACATTCAAGGAATTATTTTTTTTATTATTTTAAGGAAATAATGTGTATGTGGGGGTATATAGTATTCGGATAAATAGACTGCATGGGGCATATTTTTTCATCGTCTAAAATGTATTTTGGGCTATCTTTGAAAGCTACATAAAAACTTCCTTATTTTGATGTCAAATTGAATAAATCAGTATCTCCTCCTTGTCATGTCAAAAAACAGACTGGCAAGTGCTTTTTGAGCAAGCATTAACACTTGTCATTGAAGAAGCCGGGAAATACCAGTTTCGCAAAAGCATCGTTTAATAGATGAGAGACATGATTAAAAGAGTTGTTGTATAATATTCTTGTGCTTTATTTATTTGTTAGTAATGTCCGACTAAGCATTTTTCAACTATTTTATACAATGGTAGAGATGTCTGTCTCTTAAAACCTCAGATACCTAGCAGTACTGTGGACACATAGCCCCCGTAAACAGATAGCCCCAGTCTCTCCTACTATCACATACAAATGTGAGTATGATAAATTGTACATGAGAAAATTGCTATACCATATTAAATGACAAAATAATCTATGTTCAAAGTTAAGTATTCAAACGCGTCCCACTTTTCCCTATACATTAACGATAAATATAAAACACGCGCGTTTTATATTGTATATTTTAGTAGAAACTTCAAAACTTTACTACTACTGCATGCATATTGATAAATAAAAAATTTATCTAATTTAACATAGGTTTTCGTGCCTAGCAAGTACTAATATTTCATATTATAATGATATTCGACGTAAATATAAATATTCTTTTCTCACCATCCCCTTTGTCAGAAGGTTCACACAGAAAAATATCATTCTAGTCAAGGAAAGCAATTACTTATTTTATTTAAGATACACTTGGCACAAGTCTTAGAAAAGTTCAACACTTTGTGCTCAAAATAAAAATTTATTCTCCTTCCAAGAATATTATATAGAATATACATATTTAAGTATATGCTTCTCTTCCGTAGACTCTATATGGTAAGTAAACCAAATTTCTGTATTAATTAAATATTCTTGTTTGAAGTACTATAGACTTGCTAAGATTTCGGAATATGTTTCGAGTAAAAATGTGAAGCTTGTGATGACTTTATGATAGATTTGCGGATATATAAATTTATTAAATACTTAGAACAAATAATATTTACTTGCAGATAGTAAGTACTTTTCTGTGCGTAAACATAATCATAAGTTATTAATTGATAGGTCATTTTTATTATATCTCACTCTAAATACCACAAAAAAAATTTATATAAATTGACTAACATTTTACTTGACAACGGTTACCATTTGGAACTAATTTTCAGAACAATGAGAACAAGATTGAACAAATTAATAAATCAACAACAAAGATTTAATGTTATTGAAGTCATGCAAGGTTTGTGTTAGTTTTACAGATAAATGTGTTACGTATCTAACAATAGATCATATTCTATAATACGTATCAAGTTTCGTGCATCCTTTTATCATTTCTTTAACGTTGCATGTCTTGCATAGAATAAAAACATTTTGATAACTTTTTATAGAATATTTATGTATATATATATATATTAAATGTTACTATTAAAGAAATTTAAGTATTTGATAGAAGAATTTTGAAAACCATATCTAAATCGCATTTTTGGACTATATAAGCGACGCTATACGCATCGCGAGCAAGTTACAAACATACGCGAGCCAACATAGCTTATTTAATAAATATTGAAAAATGCGAGTGTTATATCTATCGTTTGCTTTTGCCATAATTTTTCTTATGGCGATCATGTACGCACCCATAACGGAAGCAGAAGCTAATGCAACGAGTCTGGTCAACCAAAATGTAAGCATTAGTCATTTTATAGTTAAAGCTTATTCTGTTTCTTTCTATAATATATAAACGGAAAAAATTCTTTTTCAGACTTCATCTGATATAGTTATTCGTTTCGTAAGTAATCTATATATATTACATTTTATAGGGTGACTCGGGGGAATATGCCACACTTAAGAAAAATATGATTTTTTTCCTATTTCTCTTTCTCTTTGAAGTACCTTATTGCATACTAGTCTTTTTTTCCTTCTTTTATCTGTTATTTATATATGGTTTTAATGAAACATATTGATTGTTTACTATTAAAAAAAAAGAAATACAAAAGTGTTGCAAAGTGGCATATTACCCACCCATGTGGGTAATATGTGCCACATATACAAACATGTATAGTAATTTAACTTTAAAAGGGCATTCTTGTCTAAAAACATGTAAAAGAATATTTTTATTACTTTCTTTGCATTTCAATAGTACTCTGTGTGCTAAAAGTAGTATAAATTATTCGGAATGCAATTTTGCAAAATATTAAGTACCTAGTCTATAATATTCTTAGCGCATGAAATAAACGTGTTTATTCAACATTTTTCAATATTTTTTCATCATTTTTTCAACATTTTTCAATATTTATACGGCAAAATATTTATTTATACTGTTTACAGCTTCCTAATAACCACTAGCAGTATCCTGCTACTAGGTTAGGAAGCTGTAAACAGTACTGGCATTTTACCCCTATCTAACAAAAGTAGTGGCATATTCCCCCAAGATGCAGTTTTATATTCGGGGAGTATATTCTTTCCATGACGTAAGCACCCACTAAGAAGGGATTTTTAAAAATTTGAACTCTAATGGAGTGAAAAGAGGTTTTCACGGATTCCTCAATATCTCTTAGGCCCAATAACATATCGACTTGCTTTTTGCTTACAAAGATTACCCATACAAATGCTTAAAAACATAGTTCAGAATTTTGCCCTAATCAACCCCTAAAGGGGCAAATTTAGATTCGGGGGTAAATTATAAAATCCTTCGCATACCATAGCAAAGCACGGGTGTATCAAGCTAGTGCTAACATAAATAGCTAACATATATATGAAAGAATTGTTATCGATATATTAATATTAATGAAAACGTGTCTTATATTTAAGGGAAAGAAGTAGCACTTTTCGTGGAATAAAATTCAAGTAAAACTTACAACCAAAAAACTAGAAGAAAGATTGCAATAGAAGTGTGAGACTACAAAGAATGCATATAAATGATATTATGTATATATATTTTTTAAGCAAAAATATATAAATTATATTTGTCTGTATTGTATTAAATTTGCTCGTTTCTTAATTACGCAATAAAAAATAAACAATAAGATTGTATTATCACAATGTTGTGTTTTATTTAGACATTATGTAACATTTTATTCTTATCATAGTTTACCGTTTTACATTTACAATTGGAATGCTTATTTTCCAGTTATATATTTTGAAACATCTTTATTTGTATTGAAATAATGCTTTCTTTATCTTTTATAATTATATTAAGTTTTTTAGATAATGCATAGTATATGATAAAAGTATATATTATGCATTTCATTTTATATTGTGCTTTATATATCATATAACAAAGTCTCATGGTTATTAATAATATGCCACATTATATAATATGGTTATTAATAACACTTTTTTGTAACATTTTAAGAAAAAGATAAAAGAAGAAGAATGCTTTGATGCATTTGCAGTGTTAATTAAACTGCAGCTTTAATAGGCTGAATATCGTGATATTTCATGTTGCTCCACTATCTCACAATATCCGCACTTTCTCTATGTTAAGACAACACGGTAAACTCATCCACGATGCTGATGAAAATACGGTAAAATATAAAAATTCATATAGCAATTAAAGAAACATCCACTTAAAAAGATACATGTTATTTAATTAAAAATATGTTATATTCATCCATATTCTCTAAAGTATTTCATTTCGCCAACATGGTAAAAGCGATTACTTACAGATCGTAAAAATGTACATTTATATATATTTATATTTACACCGGAGTAATCAACCAATTTATTTTAGAACAATTGATTTTATCGTAACAAATGTACTTATAGTCCTTTTCTAAAAAGGAGATGTGAAGTTTATTGTTGCCGCTTTTCCGCGATGCCGATTGGTTTTCTTGCTGCGCTTACTTCATTTGCAGCTGTCATTGTATATTTTGACAGTTGTGTATAATAGGGTTAATAGTGAAATGTTAAAGATAAATAGCGCGCGCGTAGCGCGCGTCTGTAGTGTCTAGTAATTAAAAAAACCGATTTGTATAAAAATAATTATATAAATAATTTTTTTTCTTAAAAATATATGCTCTAAAAAATTTGTAGAATTTAAGAAACAATAATTAGAAGTTAATTTTTAGAATTTATTTGTGCATTTTTACATTATAAACAATATAGTTCCTCACTTTTTTTGCTTTTGTGTTTTGTAATTTTAAATCCAATTGTGTTCTACATTATTCAACTCATTTACAAATTATTCAAATTATTTGTAAATTAAACTTTAATTTACCTTAATTAATTTATTCTGTCTTAAAGCAACTTTATATTATCAATTATCATCGTTTACTCTCTTAAACTTCTCTTCTCTGTTTTTCTTATACCTCCGCCTTTTCTCTCTTCCTCGTCTTTATAATTCATTTTTATGCTCTTGCTTTCTCCGTTGTCCCCCTTGCTTTTTTCTCCATGTATATTTTAAGGTACTGAGATTAAATGCTAAACCCAACATTTAATTAGACAAGAAAAGAGGAGGAAGAAAATATAGAGGGAGAAAAAATCTGAGGAATCTTCCTTAAATTTTTCAAGCTAATTAAAATTAAAATTGATTTAACAAAACTCCAAATATAAACAAAATTGTATAATTTAATAATTTTACGTAAATATAATTACAAGTTTATTTAAACATTTGTAAAAGCAATATTTCAGAATTTATAATAATTATCTTCAAGCATACATTATTATATTTACATTTAATACAATATTACGAAACCACATGTAATATTTCATTAAAATTATTTATAAATATAAATAAATTTACACAAGTTAAAATGCTTTTGGATATTATATTCAATTTATTGTAATAATAAATTTTTTTATTTTAAAATGCATTATATACCATGCCCACGGCCAATTACAAGAGCTAATCTTAATCTTAAAGCTTTAATCTTATCGTGCCATTGCTCCTTACCGCCGCGATGCCAGTATATAAATGCAAATTCGTTAATAACGTGGATTCTTGGGCGAAAGTCACGTCGAGACAAAAGAAGAGGCAAGGCTGAAAGATTTGATCACCACCGAGAGACTATCCTTGAAAGGGTCAATTCTTCCCATAGGGCCCCGCATCGGACTATTTTAGCGATAGTGGAATGCCATTATCGTCTGTACAGTTCTGCGAACAATTATTACTACTTGGCAAACTCAAATAGTCTCTGGTCGGCGGATACCAGTTGCCAACTTCAACGGCAAACATAAACGCGACTACCGGGCATAAGTCGAGGTCTTGGACCGTGTACTGTCCTGCGGAGAATCGTCCGCAGCATCCCGAGTAACTATATTCAAAGTAACGAATAACAGATACACTATTGTAGCGTCGCAATTAACGACACGTTTGCCAGTTAATTCGACCAAGAACAAAACGATTCCAACGAGTAAGTACGATAAGATTCTCAAGCGCTTGATCTTCGGGATTTAATCCTATCATTTGCGAGAAAATGGCACAAACTATAACTATATTAAGTTAATAACTTGGTAACTTTGCTTCGAAATGGCTAAAAAATTCCACAACTCAACATGGAATAAAAAAAAATAAGAATATAGAGAATTAAAGATAAAACAACTTTAAATTTGTAAGCAGGGTTTTTCATTCTTAAAGCGGATCATCGGATGTAATTTTTTTTTGTTTGGATTAATTTCTTAAGAGGCGTTCTCGTCTCGTTACATTTTTGCGGATTAAGTTAATGAGATCGTGAGAATCTTCATTTTCAGAGCGGTAGATATATATAGGCGCAAAGAGAAAAATTAAAAATTTGATAGTTTATCAAAGTAATTAAATCGCTCTTTCCTTATTAATTACATGTGCGCCCTCCTCCATCCCACTAATGTTGTCTTCTTATATTTATTTAAAATGACTTCTGTTCCTTGTAATTTCGTTTCAATAACAGAGTCTATTGGATGTGTCCAGCAGCAGTCACAGTTGTTGGAATAACGAAGGTGCATCGCGGAGCATCTGAAAGAGGATGCGCCGCGACAGGATGACAGGCACAGGAAGACACGGCAGACGCGTACGAGCATCGGAAAGCTATTCACGACGTGACGCTTTCTTACGAGATTGACGGGAAGAGGGACTGTGTAGTCCCGGCAGAGCCACACGCAACGGAAGAACTCCATTTCCGTCATATTTCTCGTCACAATGTCGCAAAATTGACTAGCCAGAAAACGGCGTTTCGTGACTGATCGCTGGAGCAAAGAGGACCCAGGAGGCCGCGCCATCGAGTATCGGTTCCACTTCCAATCGAACGATCGAAAGATCGCCACTATGCTTCCTAGGCGAGTAAGTATAGTATACAAATGCACTGTACGCTTCTAGCAGCCTTCCGGCGATTTATTGAAATTCCGACTCTGTCTCGGATGCTCCTCTAAAGCAGTAATCCACGATTTTAATTCTTCTAAAACTTCACTTATTGATGAATGTTAAATAATCGTGTAAAGTAATGAATTAATGGACGAGAGAGATATATTTACTTAGGACAATTGCAAAAATTAAGAAATTAAAAGCTAATCTTTTTACAACACACGTGCAAATTTACTTAATTAAAAATTGAATAACAAAAAAATTGTTTAAAATGCAATTAAAGATATCAATTAAAATTTTATTAATAAAATTTTGTAACTTTTTATAGTAGTTGTAAAATAGTTCTTGTTTTAAATTAAAAATTTTTAATCTAGATATTTTTAAATGACAAACAAAAATTGTTGCATTCAAGTAGGTCGGGAATAAATTTCATGGAAATATATAACATCTATTTTCGGACCTGAAATGGTTTCGTAATGCAACATTCAGCAAAATCCTCAGGACAAGCAGTTTCATTTTCAGAAAGATGCAGACGCGGCACGTTAATTTCCGCATGAAACATTCGCGGAGAATTCTGGGCGGTAGCCAAAGCGTGCGTATAAATAATGCGGGCTAAATGAAAAATTCTCTTGGGACGGGGGGTGAAATTCCACGTCTCTCTTCGCGAGACTAAACGAAATCCCCGGTAGGAGCTTTTTCGAAAGTGTGACGCAGCTGCGGCTACGTTCGCGAATTCTCTTCATAACCCTCTCATCCCTTCCATGTTTCAGCCCCCCCCCCTCACCCGTCTACCCTTCTTCTGGCCCGCTTTCCTCGGTATACTGAACGAAGACAAATAACCTGTGGGGTTGTTTGTTGCGCCATGGTCGTTTCTCCCGGAAGCGGAAGGAACGTCGGAAGACCACCTAGGGGATCCGAGTGACCCTTCGAGATGGAACTAGATAGGGGCTAACGTTATAGAGTTATAAATCGACATTTCTGCAAGAAATAATAATGGATCGTAGATTAAGAGATTAGAACACGCAGATAAAAGTTAAGTAAAAAGAAAGAATTATAAGAAATTGAGGTATTTACAGAAGTCGAAAGGAGTGAATGAATGCGATAAAACTGGTCGAAAGTTTATTTGGCATTCAATTTTGCTTAAAATTTGAAATTAAATTTCAAGCAAAAAAAATAAGTTGAAAATTCTTTTGGGTACGCAATTTTAGATTTTGAGGAATTGGAGAGAATTAAATCAGTCGACATGTGACAATTAAATAATGCGACGATATACAATACGTAATAAGGATTTAATTCGAGGATTTAGCAGTTCAAGTTCCTCGTCAGATTAAGTAACAAGAGCGAGGTGATAGAAACGCGTGATCCAAACATTCAGAGATTTAGCAAAGTTGAAGAGCTTGAAAATCCCATTTAAGGACTTAAAGGCGCAAATTTCCTTCGAATGCGCGCGCTGGGCGGACGATTTAATGTAAATACCAAAGGATTCACGTAAGTTTGTTAGCGCACATAGCCACCGGCGAAAGTTCGCAGGAAGAGGTAAGGTAAGCACCTTCCTGCATTCAAGAGAGTCCCTAAGCGACGATCGAGAATATCCAGCCAATGGCGATACGGCCGCAACATTTTCCAGGAAGCCTCCTGCATGAGCCCCCACCGAATCCAATTCGCGGAACAATAAGGAAGAGTTTAACCGGCTTCCACGAAAATGCCT